ATATTAAAATAAAGTTATTATAAAGGTTTAATTAAGAAAATTATTAGTAATTGCACTAAAAAATTTCAAAAATAGCTCTTACAAAGTAAGTTTAGTAACAGGTGAATTTTTACTATTAAACTTAGTAAAATAACTCTGTGTTTCGGTTTTACTAAAAAAATTTAGTAATAACTGCTATCGCGGCTTAGGTTTTACTAAGAAACTTAGTAAAAACCGCTATTGAGGCTTCGGTTTATTAAGAAAACTTAGTAATAACCGCCATTGCGGCTTCAGTTTACTAAGAAAACTTAGTAAAAAAAACGTCTCCGAAGCTGTGGAGGCATTTTTTACTATGTTTTCTTAGTAAAATAACGTTTCCGAAGCCGCGGAGGCGTTTTTTACTATGTTTTTAGTAAAAAAATGTTTCCGAAGCCGCTGAGGCATTTTTTACTATGTTTTTTTAGTAAAATAATGTCTCCGAAAGCCGTGAGGGCGTTTATTACTATGTTTTTCTTAGTAAAAAGGCATTTCTGAAGCCGCGAAGGCACTTTTTACTATGTTTTTCTTAGTAAGAATCACTTCTGAAACTTTGGAGATGGCTTTACTATTGATTTGAATCAAATCAAATATTTGAATACTTGATTTGAATTTGATCGAATTGAATCAATCATTGATTTGGATTTGATCAAATAAATCATTCTTTGATTCGAATTTGATCAAATCAAATATTCAAATATCAAATCGAATTGCAGAACCCTAAGTAATATTAATATTAATATTACTACAATTTTCTATAGAAATCTTTAGAATTATTGATTTTTGACATATTAAATTATCATCTGACTCATTTTTTTAACAAAGTTAGTATTGCTATATTGTTTAATTAAATCAGATGCCTTAGAAAATTCTGAAAAATAAATATAGTTAATTCTAAACAATAAAATTAAAACATTTTCATAAATGTTTGTTTATATACCTAATTGATTTATATAATTAGTTGAATTCTTTAATGCTATATCTTTAATAGGAATTAGAAGTGAAGCATTATCTCGCTTACACTTGATAGATTGATGCTGATAGGCAGATATACTTGCAATTGTTTTATATCGTGAAAAATCATCTGTTTATCAAATGTGATACCAGATTCAACAAGATTGTGAATAACTATTGATCATGTTGAATGATTAGTAATATTATGATCTTTAAAATCTAAACTAGAATCGGAACATATATTACGTATTATCATATAATATGATCCTTTTCCTAACTTTGTTGCTAAATATCAATTACCATTATATATATTTTTAGTTGTATTGATTAATATAAATAAATAATCATCCTCAACATTATTAGAATGCTTATTTAAGTATTTTTGAATATTTACAATAGGAGTATAAATGTTTTCTGAATAATCAGATGATATAAAACTAGTATAGTAGATGATACCATAAGATATCCAATAAAATTGATGATCTTTAAATGTTAATAAAAAAATATTGAGAAATTATTTTTTAAAAATATTAACGTTAATTAATACTTCTTAGTGAACTTTATTCAATCACGTTGAGATAATTAAAATCGAATCATTACATCCAAAGTTATAAACTTTTAAAAAATGAAGCTTTATTAGATCAGATTTCAATTTAGTCCTATAATTTTAACCTGAATTATAGAATTTCAGTTAGAATTATATTTGTATAATATAGTAAATTTTATATAAAATATCATAATACATGTAAATCTGATTTGTCAAAAATGCCAAAATTAAAAAAGGGTTTTACATTTGCGAAAAATAGCAAAAATTTCAAAACAGCGAAAGGTATGCTAAATAAATAAAAAAAAAACTTTTTTTATATTATAATCTTAATCTTTTTTTGTTTTTTGAAAATAGAGATAATAATGAAGAATATAATTCTTCTGATAATGAAGATTTAGATATGAGATTTGAATGGGAAGATAGATATTTTGATAAAGAAGAAAGTTTATTTTAAACTCTAGTTGACAATATGAAAAATTTTATACTATCTAAGTGACTACTTACATGTCATAAAAATTCTGCTAGAACTAAAAGAAGAAAAAAGAAGTTTATATATAAAGCTATCAAGTTTTTCACAATAAATAAAGAAAAAATTGATGATGAAAAGAAATATAATAACGAAAGAAATGAAATAAATGATAGTGAAAAAGAAGAAGGGAATGATGATTAAGGAGAAGAAAGGAATGATAATGGAGAAGCAAAGAATGATAATGAAAAAGAAGAAGAAAATGATGATGAAAGAGTAAGAAATGATGAATCAAACAATCAATTACTTGATGAATATATTATGAAGATTGAAAATAAATTTAAAACTGACAAAAAAATAACATCAGGTCAAAGAGTTCGATTTAAAGCAGTTCAATATTTTTTTCAATTACAAAAATCTGATCATCATAAATTAGAATCTGCTAGGATTGTTGCATAATTATTAAATCGTGGAGAATGGTTTTCAAAATGTGTTCAGACTTGGGCTAAATCATATATGATATATAATAATATTCTACAAATTAGTCGTAGTAAATATCCAGGAAAAAGTTTACTTGAAGATGAAGATGTTTGGCTTAAAGTTTCATCATATTTATGAAATGTAAAACATAATGTAACAATTCAGAATTTTGTGATTATATATTATTAGATATATTACCATTACTTGGAATTGAAACAAAAGCAACAATAAGGTAAAAAATTAAATATTTACTTTTATACTTTTAAATAATATTTAATAATAATTATAGTAATTTTATATTAGACACTCAAATAATAAATAGATAGTTGAAAAAATGGGGTTTATTTATGACAGATATCAAAAAGGAATGTATGTATATGGACATGAAAGACCAGATGCAGTTTAATATCAAATATAATTTCTTGAAGAAATTAGCATATAAATTTATCTAAAATAATGAATTTAAATAAATTTAATTAATTAATTTAAATTTGTATAATATTATAATTTTATTTAGATATCAAAATCTAATGTTAACATTTGAAGGTAATGATCTTAAAAAATGAATTGATCCAATTTTAAATGATAATGAAAAGTTATATATACTTGTAACTCATGATGAAACTACATTTTAGTCAAATGATAGATTAAAATCTGGGTGAATACCAAATAAAGAACAACCTTTAGGTAAAAAAAGTCAAGGACGTTCAATTCATATTAGCGATTTTTTAACAGACACTATTGGAAGATTAAAATTAAATGATGATTAAATAAAAGAAGTTAGAGATTCCATGTATTATGAAGCATATGTAATGATTAATCCAGGTAAAAATTTTGATGGATGGTAGAATGTAGATAAATTGATTGAACAGATAAATATATAAATAAAAAAATATGATATTATAATATAGTAAGTAATTATTAATTTTAATATTAATAATTATTTAGATAGAAAATCGGGCTATACCTATTTTTGAAAAAACACATCCAGGTGCAATTGCCATATTTGCCTTTGATAATTCTTTAAGTCATAGAAAATTTGCTGACTATGCATTAAATGTAAATCACATGAATTTGAATTCAAGTGAGAAACAAGCTAAATTACGTGATATAATCATTAATGGAAAATTCAATATATGAATTTTCTGGATAATTATCATGATAAAGATTTATGTGGAAAACCAAAAGGAATGAGAATTATTTTAGAAGAAAGAGGTTTATGGCTATCAATTAGATTGAAAGCATACTGTAATAATAATAAATATCATATTAATTCTCAATGTTATGCAAGACATATTCTTTCAAATTAACCTGATTTTCTTAATACTAAACCTTTAATTCAAGAAATTATTAAAGCAAGAGGTTATAAAGTTATTTTTTATCTAAAATTTCATTGTGAACTTAATTATATAGAAATTTATTAGGTTGCAGCGAAACGATATACTTATCAGCAATGTGATTATAGTTAGACAGGATTGCAAAGAATTGTTTTACTTGCATTAGATTCAGTTCCTATTAGTCATATTAGAAAATATGCTAGAAAGTCTACACAATATATGGATTGCTATAGAAAAGGTTTAAATGCTAAACAAGCTAAGTATGCTGTAAAAAAATTCATGTTACATAGAGCAATACCTAATTCGATCTTGACAAATATTGATTAAATATTCGATTCTATTGGTTTAAATGTAAATTCACGTGATTTATTATAGTCATGTGATACATTATATAAGTAAATAAAATTTGGCTGTTTAAATAAAAAGTGGATGTCTTATGCTATCACATACTGTATCAGATACAGCATATGAATCTTTAATTCCTCCTGCATGATTCTTTTCCTTAGGTAATTTAAGCTTTATTCTATCATCATTCATTTCAATAATTCAAGAAGCTTTCAATCATTTGGCATCACCACCTCTTAAACAGTATAATAAAGTTAACCAGATTCAAACCCTTTGTAAAAGGCCTTTAGAAGTATCTGTATTGGTGACAGGTGAGTGTAGTATAAATTTGATTTCATCAATTTCTAGTAGATTTGATTGTTTTCGATTATATTGTCCTTGATTAGCAATTGATTTCATATGACAATCCAAAGTTCTATGTAAACTTTTAAATGGAGAAAGATCAAATAAATTCACAACCCTAATTTTCTCAAATATTTCGGTAATTCCTCTTGCCAAAGCACAAAATCCAGTATATAGTGATGATGCTTTATATTCTTGACCATTAGATTTTCTTACTTCCACTAAAAATTGTTTCAACTGATCGGATAATGTTTTATTATCCAATTCAACAATTTCATTTAAATAACCACGGGCTTCACGAAACTTAATAAATATTTATCAACACATTGTTAGATTTGTCTGTATTTACATTTCTTGATGCTTTCTGAAAATTTAAAATTGTTTCTTTAGTTGATGAAACAAATCGCGTTGTCATTATTAATTTAGAAAGAAGGATTTGAATAATGTGGAATAGAAAGAAAATGTTTAAGGAAGAAAAAAGAAGCGTGGGAAAAAAATAATGCAAAAAAAAAGTTTAAATCGCTAATCACGTGTTATGTTTAATGAGTGACACGCTCCTGGGGATTACACATTTATTTCATGGGGAGGGAATACCATGGTTTTTTCCCGAAGGGAAAAAACCATATTATTCCTAACTTTTGAGTTTGTATCTAATCCTTCAATTAATTTGTGCGACAACTATAAGTAAACAAACCTTAACTTACCTAACCCTAATATCACGCCACAAGGTGAGGGACAAATGACGAGTGACCAAATTTCACATTAGAAAATTGATGGGAGAACAACAAAAAAAAAATCTTCCGTTATATCTTTAGATTTCTTTGTATTTTTTTGTTGTACTGTTGATTCTGATATGATGAGCAGTTCAATTTTATGTCCTGGGATTCTGGAGGCTCGCAATCTAGAAAGTATATATTCCCTAATAAAATCCCGGAAATTACATTATCCCGAAAAACAATAACCCGAATGTCATGATCCCTAGTAATATTTAATAATGAAACCTTCACAAATTTGTTACATCGAAATCATGAACTTTTTGCATAAGAATTTATCTAATTAATGTATAGATAGTAATGTCTATATTTTTCCGGTGAAGGCGTGATCCATGCTGCGCCGATCAACTACAACCAATCATGTGATTTGAAATGTTTGGCCGATCTGACC